TTTTTTTTTTTTTTTTTTTTTTTTGAGGGGGTGGGTGAGTTCTAGTAATTAAACCAGTAAATCTTCTACATTGATTTTTAGCTGCGTTTCTAATATAAGATGCATGCCAGCTGATTAGTCATACTTCATGTCACATTTTCCATTTTTAGCAGGTATACTACTAACTTGATAGAAAAACCTTTGAAAGACCTCATAGTAAAACTAGATTTGTTGGTAGTTTTATTGGGTAACTTCAATTGAATGAAAACTTCAAAAGGATTTATTTATCTGTGACTCTTCCCCAAAAAGCTCAGGGCGGCTTACAATAAAGAATTACAAAACAGAAGAAAATATTAAAATAATTACAGCAACAAAAATACCCTCCCTGCCCAGAGGAAAAAAAAATAAAGAAATTCCAAAGCAGACTACCCACCCCCAGCTCCCACTTCTACTTCCCTGCCTCTGACCAAGGACAGCATCCCCCACCTCACCAAGCCAACTTCACTTGCCAACCCACATTCAGTATGTTTATAAAAGAAAACAATTCTGCCTCGCCCATATTCTCTCCCATTTCTACTCACTCCTGCTCCCCTGCCTCACACACAGGACAGTTCTCCAATCCCCTTACTGTCTTTTCCAAGCTGTATCTTTCCCTCTCTCAAAAGGGAGGACTGGGTCAAACCCATTCATTATCCCTTGTACTACAAGGCCAACACATTGTTGAATTAAAGCAAGAGAAACAAAACAAAAAAAACACCTCCCTTCACCTAGTCTGTCCCTAGGAAAGGGTGATGCTAAAGACTATTTAGAGTTATTTCCTCTTTTCACAGAGATATGCTTTCTAGATCTACCTTTACACAGCACAAAAACTCTTACAAAATACGGAGAAAAATGAGGTCTATTTAGTCGTCATGGATATGTTATGTTACAAATTAGAAGTTATATATGCTCACTTAGAGATATTTTATTACTATGGAATATCAGGCAGTAGGTTAGGAAACTCTGCTTTCTATGGGTATAAAAAAATCTGAGATCCTACAAAACGTTCTTCACTATCTTGATTTGATAATATCTGCAAATACATCAGGTCCTAAACAAAAAACACCTAAAAGATAAGCTCCCAAAATTATGACTGAAACAACGGATGGCACAAACCAAGGAAGGACACAAAGGACAAGTACTGTTTTAAATCTTAGTTCCTGTAAAGTTTTTCATACACTACTACCAACTTGTTTTTATGTTTCCTTCACCCCTCAACTAAAAACACTAATGATAATGAGGCGATTCAGCAGAAAAAACCCGGCAAGGCAACCATTAACACCTTGTTGAAACTGTTAAGGAGAGTATTAAACAGCTATATTTCTGAAACTGACTATGTAGGGTCTACAAAACTGACAAAATGCACCCCCACCCCTATCCCCAGTGGAGTGGAGGATCTATCTCGGTTGAAAATGAAGGACAGAATCACTGGGCATCTTTACACGTGCTCTGGGATGGGGGAGGAGGGGCACTCTAATTAGAGTGGCTCCAAGAACCGTTCTTAAAGTGCCCGCAGCATCACATGTATTGAGCACCCCAGACTTCAAAATGGCAGTGGGGGTGCTGTAACTAAAGCAAATTCAATGAACTTTAGTTAAAGCACCCCTGCCACCATTTGGAAGCACAGGGACACTGAATACATGTGATACGGAGGCTGCTGGAGCATGCTAATTAGCACACATCGGAGCAGAAATCCAGCATGTGTATAGGTGCCTACTGATGACTAATTCCCAGATGAGTTAGAGCTGCAATCTAATTACGTCATATTTCTTGTCCTTTGTCTTTCTTCCTGTCCATGTACAGCACGCATTAAATAACTGACAGAAAAAGACATTAACCAATCTCATTAAGTTTTTCAGAATTCCAGTAAAATCCGTATTACCTCTGTGGGGTTTTTTCCTATTTTCCTTAACCTTTCATTCCACACTTCCTTATCCCTGAGATATTGATTGTATTCCTTGTTTCTTTCAAGACGTAGTTTCTCCTAAAAAAGACATTGCAAAGGGTGTTGTAATTTGTTTGCTGGTGGATTGGCTTTTAAGTTTACTAAGATATTGAATAGGAACCAATGATCTGTGCTTTTTTTACTTCTTTCTGATGTACAAGTGGGCCCTGGAAAAGGAACAGGTTTTTTGGTTTATTATTGGAAATAATATCACCATCTCCTCCTAGGAATGAAAAGCAGAAAGAAATCTCCAAGTCAGAATGTAGTTCCCCACTATTATACAGCAGTATCTTACAATAAATAAAATCAATTAATTCATCAAGCTGTATATTAGAGCTAGTTAGGCTGTTTGATTCTATTACTCCTGTAGAAAGAGTTTAAAAAAAAAAAAGTCTGATGAATTATAAATCTTCCAATTTCCTCAGTCAGATACAACTCTCTCTCAACTATATTGTGAGAGAAACTTTTATAGATTTCATAGACATTCGGACTGGAAGGGACCCCGGAGGATCAGAGTCCAGCCCCCTGTCCCAGGGGCAGGAAGTCAGCAGGGATCATAGCATCCCAGCAAGATAAGCATCCAAATATGTCTTGAAGGCATTGAAAGTGGGTGCTTGAACTGCCTCTCGCAGCAGTCTATTCCAAACCTTGGGGGCTTGGAAAGTAAAGAAGTTCTTATGTCCAGCCTAATCGCTTGCAGCGGAGTTTGTGACCATTTGATCTTGTCATCCCTTGGGGCACTCTGGTGAATAGATATTCCCCCAGATCCTGATGAGCACCCCTGATAAACTTATAGGTGGCCATCAGATCACCCCAGAGCCTGCGCTTTTCTAGGCTAAAGAGCCCCATGGCTCTCAGCCTCTCATGATAAGGTCTGTTTTCCTGACCTCTGATCATGTGCGTGGCTCTTCTCTGCAC